TAATTTAAGATGTAATACAATTTTGGTTGTACTGTCCCTTTAAATATTTCTGCACACCTTTAGACAGGTAAAAACTGCCCAATGGGATGTGTTGGAAGTTTCTGGAAGCAGTGGGGCTCAGTATATAAAGATCCCACTGCTATAGGTATGCTGCCGTTGGCCAGGTTAAAGCAATAAGAGCTACCCACCCTCCTTCCCGTCGCAAACACTTTATGTGGTGTGTCACCTTTTCAAAAAAGGAGGACTTTTGTTATAAGCTGATGTAATTAATTTGCTTGAGTCATTACAGCTAAGGCAATCTTGAAAGTATTAAATTGATTTGTTGTATTTGTAATATGGCTATTAAAAAATGTAATTTATTTTATACCAATAAAAGTGCCTCGGCCAATTTATGCCATACTATGGTGTCAGTCTGATTATTTGGTTAATAGGGATTGTGTTTCGAGATAATGGGAGGGGGTGTGAAGTGAAATCCCATGAACTGTATCATGATTCATGAATTTAGATGATTTGCAATTGCTTATTTTGCACATTTATATGATTTTCTGCACTGTATATTGATGGTTATTCACTATTGCGTATTTTGTACAGCTATATTTTTCAGTAGGTTTGCATAACAGTTGTATACACTTTATTTTTGACAAATCTCAATTTGAACATATTTGCTTTTTTTGCATAGTATACACAGTATATTTGTTTTACTGTGAGAGTATTGCTTATTTTTCACATTATTGCTTTAGATGTTTCACAGCAATTTCAGCATGCTGAGAGTTGTTCACACTGTGGGTCATGCATTCGTTTTTTTTTTTGCATTTAGAATCCAGGGTTTCCAAAGTGCAGCAGTCTGACATTAATTAAGAGTCATTAGAGTCTAGCGTGAGGTTGTTTTTTTTTTTTTCATAAATTAATCCCTTATCTATTAGCCCTGAAAATATCCAGGATTGATTTTTAAAGGATAAGTTCACCTTTGGGAACATATTACATTCTGAGGATGGAACATGTAATATATTCCCACTGTTGTAGCTGCTGCCCGATCCCCCCGTGATAGAAGTACGAGGAAAAGTTCCACCTACAAGCTGTCACTTTTTAAAAACAGCGCGTCCATGTGGGTGGACAGGGTTCTGTGTATGAATGAACTACAAGATCTGACAGCCTTAAAGTTTACTAAACCCACAACAGTAAAATCAGTCTGTATATGCAGTAAAACATGCTTGTTATACTCACTGTGGGACCTAAGGGGTTAATCCTCTGCATTGTATAAAAATCCTTTCTTCTCTGTTCCTCCCCTTTTTCAAGCGACCACCTCTTATCTCCTGATAAGACAGACTGGGTCGTAGGCATTTTGCACATGCTCAGTTTGGTGTGTATTGCTAGAGAGGATTGTTTTTTTCTTGGGAGAGTACATTGATCAGCACAGGGCCAATCAGCACTGGTTAGACAGAGGTTAGGGGTTTTGCATCCGCCTAGAGCAGAATGAAAATTCCTCCTACAAGCTCTAGCAAGTGTCAGGGATCCCTCCGTGCAGCTGTGCGACGGCGCCAGATCCCCTCTGGCCGCGGTGATGCGAGTGCGCATGTGCGGGAGCGTGCGGGCGCGCATGCGCAGCAGCGTACGAGTGCATGCATGCGCAGTAGCGTACACGTCACCGCAAGGCGGGCTATTTAAACCTGCAATACAGTTTAGTCAACGCCTTCTCGTCTATAACGTTCTGCACTCCATAACCTGATTCTGTTGCCTGTATCTGATCTGACCTAACTAAGAAAGAACTCCGCCTGCACCGACCCCGGCTTATCCCTGACTATCCGCTTACCTGCTCCCTTGTACTTGATTTGCTCATTTGATCCTGACCCGGCTCGTCTGACTCTGCTGCACCTACTTACCTGTATCTGCACCTGGCCTGTATCCCGATTGCTGCCATACTTACCTGCTGCTGCACCCACGGTCCTGCACCTGGCCTGCATCCTGGTCACCGCCATACTTACCTGCTGCTGCACCCACGGTCCTGCATCTGGCCTGCATCCTGGTCACCGCCATACTTACCTGCTGCTGCACCCACGGTCCTGCACCTGGCTTGCATCCTGGTTACCACCATACCTGCCTGCTGCCGCATCCACGCTCCTGTGTCCGTTCCCGGTCTGCATCCTGATTGCTGCCATACCTGCCTGCTGCTGCACCCACGTTCCTGCATCCACACCTGGCCTGCATCCAGATCTCCTGGGTCTTCACCTGCCTGCTACCAGCTCCAGACCCACACTCATGCCACATCTGGCTCTGCGCCCTCTGTTCCCACTATCAGTGGCTCTGAGCGGGAGTAGTAAGAGAAACGCCTCCTCTCCACGTCAGGCTCCCCAACCAGGTACGTGACAGCTAGTGCTTGGCTGAACACTGATAAAAGTCACAAGACTGCTCTAACTGCTGATGAGAAAAGATATTTAGCAGTTTATATTTACTAAAATAATTGCATTTCCATGTTCTGTGTACTGTGGGAGATCAGATATAGTGAATGCAAGGTCCTGGGTTTAGTAGCACTTTAATGGCTGTTGGCTTGTAGTTCTGAATGAACTACAATGGTGCTGTTGGTAGTTCATTGAATCTTCCTGTCAGTATATCTACTAGTCCGTACATGCCATACAGGAAAGCAGACATACTGACAGGTCTGCAGGAGACCTGCATGGCACCAGTGATCTGCTGATCGCTGGTGCAATGCTTTACAGGCTCCTGCAACCAAAAATAATAAATGCACATTTTTTACCTGCAAAAAAAATGTGCATCTATTATTTTTTGTCAACAGATGAATTTATCCTTTAAGATTCACCGCAGTTGACTTGGGTTTGGATTAAAGTTCATCTGTTCAAGATTTTACTATGAATTGGGCAATTGCCCAGCAAATTGAACCCAAGCTGATTAACTCATCCGTAAATCCTATCTGACTTGATCCTAAATGGAATATTTGTGAATGTGACATTCACCAGTCACTGTAGACAAATTTTTTGGTGAATGTGTTTTAATAATATGAAATAATTTACCACCAATTAGTGTTTAGTGAATGTTCCATTCGCTGCTTTAAAAATATGCTTCAAGTCTTTAAAAGCAAATATGAGCAGAGATTATTAGGAATCTCCCTACCCCTTTTCAGAAATATCCAAATCTCCTGAAAAGGAAGATAATTACGAATGAACAATTTAGACATAATGCAAAAAAAAATAATTATATCTGAACCAATGGACATTGTGTGCTAAGGAAACATATAATAGATCAAGAAAATTCTGCTGAAAAAAGAACATTCCCCTCTGGGTGATCTTTGTACATTGCAGGGATTTTATCAAACTGGTCAATGCAGATTCCTACCTCTTGTTAGGTGCAGGACCTTTTTTGTATTTTGGTCCGCACTAGAATCGGATCGCATGGGTATACACACCTAATACGATCCGATTCTGTGCATCGCACCGCGTTTTTGCGGACCATGCGATTTCGGGATGTACATTTTGTATAACTTAACATACACACCCGCAGTGGTTCGCATGAACGGGGTGGGGTGTTGTTAACTGATGCGGTGTGGAATTAGCACACAAAACGCTGAGAATCCCGCACCGCATCAGTGTGAACCAAGGCTTAAAGGGATTAAATGGTCTTCAAATATCAATAAAGCATGAAAAGAAGAAAAAAAAAAAAAAAAAAATATATATATATATATATATATATATATATATAGATCACTAATTGCAGAACAGTGTCATAATGTGGATAAAGAACACATATATCCATAGCAACTCCTCTCCCAGGGGCTTCAAGTTCTATTATCATGTGTTTTATCAATAAATATTACAATAGTTAACACTATCAAAACCTGCAGGTCATATACAGAGAAGGCTTTCTGTTGAAATATTCTTTTCAGTTGCATTGGATTTTAGAACAGGTTTAATTGGATCACACATGCAGATATAACCAGTTCCATATTCTGTACCAAACAACGTTTGCTTTAACACCTCCATGACACACTGAACACTATTTCCAGGCCACAGATTACTGTTCTACAGAAATTAATTTAGAGTCTGATATTATGTGAATCAAGTGATCAATTAATTCTAAGGTCTCATGCACACAGGACATCTTGCCATCTCTCCTAGATGCGTTTCCTCTTGGAAGCAGCGTTTTGGCAGAAAAAACGTTTGTAAACGCATGTAACGAGTTTAGGTGCATCAAGCGCTTGGGCATTAATTAGTTTCATTGGCCAGAATAATAATTTATTCTGGCCATTAAAATGAATTAACACTCAAGCGCTAAATTTGCGTGTTTACATGTGTCAAGCTTTTTTTTTGCCAAAACACGACTGCTCCTGGACATGCTGGAAGTGGGGTGTTTTTTGCCTCTAAACTCCTCTAAATGCCTATGTGTGTATTATTATTATTACAGCTACTTATATAGCACCAGCACTTTACACACCGTATTTTTCGCTCCATAGGACACACTTTTTTCCCCCAAAAAAGGGGGGAAAATGTCAGTGCGTCTTATGGAGCGAATATGGAGCGGCCGGTCTTGTATTTCCGCCGCCACCGTGTCAGAATACTGGACCAGCCACTCAGCTCTTCTCTGCAGCAGGACCTTACCTGTTCCTCGGTCCAATGCTGTACAGTCTTCCCGCGCCAGCATCTTTAGTGTGGGCAAATGGTCCGGCGTCTTCTGGGACACAACAGGTCCCTGAAGACGCTGGGCCATGCACAAAGCGCAGTGCTTCTCGTGCTTGCGCAGTGGGCACCAGGCTGTCACAGCCGGGTGCCCACACTAAAGGGAAGAGAACTCCACGGAAGTGGGAGCGGGTACCTAACAAATTCAGGTACCCGCTCCCCCTCCCTCTATAAAGGTCCGCAGTCTCTTGATCATCCCCTGTACTGGCCGCAGTCTCTGGTCACCCCTGTACTGTCTGCAGTCTCTGGTCATCCCCTGTACTGTGTGCAGTCTCTGGTCATCCCCTGTGCTGTGTCCGCAGTCTCTGGTCATCCCGTGTACTGTGTCCGCAGTCTCTGGTCATCCCCTGTACTGTGTCCGCAGTCTCTGGTCATCTCCTGTACTGTGTCTGCAGTCTCTGGTCATCTCCTGTACTGTGTCCGCAGTCTCTGGTCATCTCCTGTACTGTGTCCGCAGTCTCTGGTCATCTCCTGTACTGTGTCCGCAGTCTCTGGTCATCTCCTGTACTGTGTCCGCAGTCTCTGGTCATCTCCTGTACTGTGTCCGCAGTCTCTGGTCATCTCCTGTACTGTGTCCGCAGTCCGCAGTCTGGTCATCTCCCGTACTGTGTCCGGTCATCTCCCGTACTCTGTCCGCAGTCTCTCCCTACCGTACTCTGTCCGCAGTCTCTGGTCATCTACCGTACTCTGTCCGCAGTCTCTGGTCATCTCCCGTACTCTGTCCGCAGTCTCTGGTCATCTCCCGTACTGTGTCCGCAGTCTCTGGTCATCTCCCGTACTGTGTCTGCAGTCCCGTCTGGTAATTTCCTGTACTATGTCTGCAGTCCATTGGTTCAGAATATTTTTATCTTGTTTTACTCTTCTAGGTGCGTCTTATGGAGTGAAAAATACAGTATATATTGTTCATTCACATCAGGCCCTAACCCTCAAGGGGCATACAATCTAAGGTCCTTAACTTACATGATGGCAGCCTTTGTTACGTTGGTCCCAGCTCTCTGCAGGTCATTCACTAGGTCCCCCCGTGTAGTCCTGGGATTTTTGCTCACCGTTCTTGTGATCATTTTGACCCCACGGGGTGAGATCTTGCGTGGAGCCCCAGATCGAGGGAGATTATCAGTGGTCTTGTATGTCTTCCATTTTCTAATTATTGCTCCCACAGTTGATGTGTTCACACCAAGCTGCTTGCCTATTGCAGATTCAGTCTTCCCAGCCTGGTGCAGGTCTACAATTTTGTTTCTGGTGTCCTTCGACAGCTCTTTGGTCTTCACCATAGTGGAGTTTGGAGTGTGACTGTTTGAGGTTGTGGACAGGTGTCTTTTATACTGATAACAAGTTCAAACAGGTGCCATTGATACAGGTAATGAGTGCAGGACAGAGGAGCCTCTTAAAGAAGAAGGTACAGGTCTGTGAGAGCCAGAAATCTTGCTTGTTTGTAGGTGACCAAATACTTATTTTCCACCATAATTTGCAAATAAATTCTTTCCAGATCAGCCAATGTGATTGTCTGGATTTGTTTTCTCATTTTGTCTCTCATAGTTGAGGTCTACCTGTGATGCTAATTACAGGCCTCTCTCATCTTCTTAAGTAGGAGAACTTGCACAATTGGTGGCTGACTAAATACTTTTTTGCCCCACTGTATATGCACATACTAGGGTCAATTTAGACAGGATCCAATTAACCTCCCAGCATGTCTTTGGAGTGTGGAAGGAAACCGGAGTACCCGGAGGAAACCCGCACAGGGAGAACATGCACACTCCTGGCAGGTGGTGCCATGGTTGGAATTTGAACCGACAACCCTAGTACTGCCAGGCGTAAAAGCTAACCACTTAGCCACTGTGCTACTTTTCTCCTCACATACTAACATGCAGGGGCATTTGGAGGCAGAAAACAAATGACAGATACCCCTAGCAGCCACATTAAAAGTTACCAGTGTGCATGAGGCCTAAAACTTTAAAACAAGTGTTCATTTCCCATTTATAAAGCCTCATACACACTGCAGCTAAAAAAAACACCTGTTTTACAGGCCTTTGACATTTTTTTCTTTTCTGCCTTTAAATGCCTCTCCATGTTAGCCTATGTGTCCATGCACACATAGGCATTTACAGGAGATTAAAGGCAGGAGTGTTTAGAGATAGAAAAAAAAATCAAGCTTTTGCACATTCAGGAGAGGATTGTTTAAGCAGAAAAATGTGCAAACACGAATTAACATTAGGTGTGTTAAGGTGCGTTCAAGCATTAATGAATGCTAATTGTTAGAATAAATTAATATTCTGGCTAATAAAATACATTAATGCCAAACGTGCAGGAATGGGCATAAACGCTAGTGAAAAACTCGGCTTTTACCATCTTCTCCTGTAATGAGAATAGGCGTCCAAAGGATCACAGTGCGCATGAAGCCTAATACACTATTCTACTTTTAATAGCACTCAGCAAGTGGATATTGATTATTCTCATAGCTCTTGGTATAGATACATTAACCATGTTTCAACAGATCAGCTGCACAGACACTTTCATTTAAATACATTTCTCATTGCCACAATGGATATAAAAAATACTTTGTAGGCACCAAGTGCCTTTAAAAACTCGGGTATTAAAATAGTGGTGACATCATCACTGTTCCACAAAGGTAAATCTATAATATATCAACGCACAACAATATGCTAAAAAACTAAACACACTGTAAGGAGCTAGCTAACACTAACGTGTTTCACACTAATCTCACCAACAAAGGTACGAGGGGCGTTCAAGTCAAACTAGGACTTTTAATTTTACAGTTATAAAAAGGGATACTAGTGTGGCGCTACTACACGCAGTGGCAAGTGTGTCCTATTACTGATAGGCGACGCACATATCCCGGGCCAGTCCAGAGATCGTTAATCCAGATGGCACACAACAGTGTTAGTACGTGCATGGAACAATGTGTGATGAAGTTTCTTCATGCACAGTATGGTCAGCCACAGTAAGACATTTGAATAGTGTAAACATTTCAAAGATGGCCGTACGTCCATCAGTGACAATCCCAGCCGTGGTGGTCCCCAGCCCACAGCAGCCATTCCTATGAACATTCAGTGCGTGGAACGCCTAATCCTGGATCATCAACAGATAACATGTTGTTGTGAAATTACACAAGAGACAAATCTTTCTGTGGGAACCGTGAACATAAATGATGACGGAGTGAAGCAGGCTGTCCTAGGATGGTTCAGGCGTACCGACAAATCTTTCCATGCCGAAGCTTTCCAGGCATTAGTTAAATGCTGGGATAAGTGTATAAATGTAGCAGGGGAGTATGTCGAAAAATAAATGCAGTTTTCACTCCTTGAACTTTATTATTTTATTATATAAACTCAAAAGTCCCGGTTTGACTTGAGCACCCCCTCGTAATTCCTCCTCTCTGTCTTCAAAATAACTTTACCTCAGCAAAGAACAAAGGGAGGGGACATGTAATGCTCTATGTTTAAATGACGTTTATTACAGCAATCTTAATCTCATTTACATTTTATACAATGAAGTACAGGCATTTAATAATAATAATAAAAAAAAAAAAAAAACAACAAGCATCTACTGTTATTCCTCCACCGCGCCACTCATTTTCCCAATGAGTTTGTAATTGAAACCCCGCCCACTAGCGTGATGACGTCACCATACAGATATATACACGGAATGTGAGCGCTCTAAAAATCAATGAAAGCCGCTATGCACAAAAGGTAACCAAAGAACCCTTAATATAAACAATATAAGATAGGTGTAGAGCTAAAAATAAATAGATAAATAATTGAATAAATAATGAACCTAAAATGACAAATCAATGATGGTAATACCAGTTCATAAACAGTTCAAAAAGTGTTAAAGGTGCAGCTTAAGGCGGCTCCCCTCTGAAGACGTGCGTGCGCACAAAATGCATTAGAAGGAGCCACATCACGCCGTCACGCCGCCGGAGCAACATGGAGCTCCGGCGGCCATCTTTAATTTCGTACGACACCTGGCCATCATATATCCCGAGAGGGGATCTCTCATCCAGGGAAGACACCCCCCATGTCAGGAATGGACTCAGCACTGGTGGTGGGACTCACCTGCTGTGTGGGCTGCAGTACCAGAGCTGACCAGCGGGTGCTCTCAGCAGCCAGAAGCTCACACGTGCAATCAGCAAACCTGGGGCTGATTGCAGAAAGGTGTATTTAAGGCATGACCAGGCCTGTGCTCTGGGCCTTGGTGTATGTTTTCCCATGAGCCTCTGTACCTGGTATCCTGTGTTCCTGCTTCGTTGCTGACCCGGCTTGATTCTGACCTCTGCTGACCGTCTCCTGTTGAACCCCTGGCTTGCCTGACCATCCTTCTGCCTGATCCCCTGTACCACGCTGTCCGTGAGTTACTGAACCCGGCTTGTGACCTTGACCATTCTCTGCCTGCTCCTTTTGGTACCTTGCTGCCCGCACGTTGCTGACTTGGCCCGTCTGACCACGCTAACTACTCTGCCATCCATGCATCCTGCACGGATCCAGCCGTACCTGCACATATCTCTGGTGGATCCCTCTACCACTAGCAGGTGTACTCAGGGGCCGCGACCTGGTTCCTGTCTGCTCCAAGTCCATCCCCACCATCAGGGGCCCTGGTGAATAAGCAGACTGGGACTTAGACTCCGCGCCCTGGGGAATCCTGTCCTGGGGACCACTAGAGGTACCATCAAACGGTCATTACAGAACCCTACGGCCGGCCTGACCGTTCCACCTCTCCAGCCCTGACTACGCCTGTGTTCCTGCACCTACTAAGATTAGTGGAAGGTTGGTTTGTTCACTGTGCGTTTATATATATATATATCTGGGTGGCTAATAATAAACTGCATTATTATACTATACCTGAAACCTGCGTTTCCCTGTGTCAGTCCACACCTTTCTGGTCATTCCTAGATTCCTGACACCCCATTCCTGGCTTGCTTTGATGTCCATTTGGATTTAATACAGGCGCATTTTATATGCGTGTCCGGTGAGTGCGCATTCTTTAACGTCACCATACAGGTTGCCCTGTTTTTTATGCGTACGTCTTGGGAGGGGACTTCAGAAGCTTCAGCTTGGCAGACCATGTATGGCCTTATACTCGCTCGATGCCCTCCTATGGTGTGGAGCCTTTCAGGCAAAAAGTAGACAGTTTTCATGAAGGTGGATCACAGTAAAAGAGACCCACCTAAAAATGTTCCAGTACATCCGAGCAAAGTCTGTTACAGCTTGAAATGCATCAACGACCCCAGCTACACCCACCCTGCCACTATCACCCTGTGGGATGGCCACGTGACTGCACAAGAAGCCCTCTGACATGTGACATCTCCTTCCCGCATGGAATCACAGAGAAGTTTAGTACATGTGCATTTACATCAGACAAGTAAGTTCATTTACTGCATACCCAAAGGCAACTACTGTTAGACAGTGAATATAACAGCAGCATCTTCTGGGAGAGAAGAAAAAATCTGGGACCTCATTGTTAGACTCATCATTCTGTACAGTTCTTTGCCAGACTTTGACCTCACTGCTTAACTAAAGCATTAACTAAAGATTGACAAACTGAAGATTGTAAGGTTTACATTTTTTTTTAATAACAAACACAATACTTACCAGCTCTGTATAATGGTTTTGCACAGGGCAGTCCCAATCCTCCTCTTCTTGGGTATCCCGCTTGCACCTCCCCCTTGCCAGGTGCCCAACATAGCAAGCCTCTTGCTGCCCCCCCACTGGCTGTGATTGGCGGGAGCTAATGGC